GTGATGAAATTATTTAGTACGGTACTGACTGGAGGGTTCGAACACACGACCTCGAGGATGGATACTGCACTGAGATACACAGCCAAAAAAAACGGGGCCTGGCCGAAGCAACAACATACGGATCAGAAAACTGCGACAGTTTCTGGTCCACGTTTCGACCAAAATACACACAATGGATCTCAGACTGTCCCCAACGGCAGGCATGAACCGACGCCGACGGGGAAGGACGTCAGAACCGATCTAAAGCAGTACTTTACGGTAGTCCGACGAAAATCGGAAATAAATTTATGGGGAGAAAAACAGGAGTTTCCGTAGGTAGGATATTGGCCCCAGGGACGCGGCCAGAACAATACTTAACTAACACTTTTGTCCTTGTCAGTCCTTTTTGCTTGAGTATCGAGGGCCCCCCCTGATGATGATCGACTGGCAACCGATCGAAACGCGGCGTAGGGGGAAGCCGCAGGAATGAAGGTGGAGGCTGACACTGACGTGTAATGACCTGTGTTTTTCTCACACACGGGGTGATGGTGGCGATGGTAATTGGGGACGAGTTTCATGTCTGATCTTTTTTGACTCAATTGTTGTCTATATCATTTCACCGATGTATGAGATCTATACATGCATGTGACCACTCGTGTGGAGACTACGATCCTATAAGAGGATTGAGGTGATAACCGACAGGGAAGGACACCCAGGGCGGTGGTCGCTACGTATTAGCTAAGTAGACGTGGAAGATGGGATGTTATACGTGTGGCCAGGATGGCCACTTCGCGAGAGATTGCCCGCAGCGGGCGGGCGCTGCTGCTAATAATAATAACAATAATAGTAATAACTATAATAATGGCTACCAGAGGTATAATGGGTTGACGTGGCAGCAGAAGAAGGATGTGGAAGACATCGCATGGATGAGGGAACTATGTGCGGACATCGTGAAGCATAAGAAAGAGAGAGAGGAGCAGGAGAAGGAGCAGGAACGTTTGAGGATAGAAGAAGATCGGCGAAAGAAGGAAGAGGAACAACATCGACAGATTGAGAGACAGGCGGAGATTCGGGATGCACGACTGATGGCGGCAATGACATCACAGCTTAAGGCACTACACGAAAAACTGGCGATGCAGATGGACGAAGTCAGATCGAGGATACATACTCGAGACACGCAACGGAATGACGCCGAGACGCTACGAGGAGAGGTGTTCGAGCTGGAGCGAGAGCTGGCGAAAGAAGACAGCCCGGAAAAGGAGAAGGAGGAGCTACGGGGGAAGCTGGCGCAACTGCGGAAGCTGAAGGAGGAACGTGATCTGGCCCGCGTTAGAAAGAAGACCATGGAGGCAGAGTTAGAGTGGGAACTCGAACAGACGAGGAGGGAAGTTGATCTAGAAGATCAATATGCACCATCGTCATCAACAAGACCCCCACGGAAACGAAGAACAAAGACTCCATCTACACCGTTGAGGCCATGACGAGTCAAGCAACCGAATATGGGGATACATATTGAAGAACCATCTACTCCGCGGACGCCGATGACGACCAGATCACAGAAGAAGAATCCGACTATCGATAACGAGACACTGCTCGCAGGCTGGCGAGATATCACGAGGAACGGCGCAGGGAACAACGTCGTGGATTACTGCATGAACATGCGAAGCTACCTCCGAACCAAATCAATGGCGGAACTGCAATGTCTGTGCGGGGAGGAGAATGTGGAATACGTAACGAGGGAGAAGGTGACTAAGTCACTGATATCAAACAAGATGCAAGAGAAGATTCTGCGGGGAAACGCAGGATCTGCCGTCGATCCGAATCCGGAGGTGAGCTCAGATAGGGAGCCCGATCTAGAGACTAATTGACACTTAGACCTCGACCGAGCTTGGGCGTCATGGGACTCGTTGGTGGAATATAGGAGGACGGTTAGCCAAAATAGAGTCGTAGCGAACTCGATAGATGCTGCTCTTAGAACCGTGATTGTGATCCTCACGATGCGGGGGGCTACACCTTGGGCAAACAAGTTCATGGATCTATGGGAGAAGGGAGGTATCGATTGGGAGAACCCATCGAGATGTGTCTACGCGTTGATCTCGGCGAAATGCCGAAAGATATATATCGGAAAGACTAGTCGTGAACTTAGCTGCAGATGGAAGGAACATGTGACATGTAGCAGAGGGAAAGAGAGCAAGAGCCAATCGCTGTATAGATGGCTTAGAAAATTTGGCACGGAAGAGTACGTGGCGATACCACTCACAGCGGCTGAGAATGACGACGATCTGACGAGGATAAAGAGATGTCTGATCAAGAGATGGTCCTCGACGCTGAACTGTTTGGCGAATAAAATACCCAGACCGAAACGCAGGAAGAAGTGGAAGGGAAAAAGAGAAAGGAAGGGGAGAAGCTACACGAGAGAGAGAAAGGGAAGCATTCTACGTTTTGAAGTCGCCGCGGGAACATCGACCACGAGGCTACCAGATAGCCTAGAACGGGCAATCAGAGGCGGGAAGAAAGACGTGCGCATTACCTGCCGCGGGGACATTTGGTGTGAGGACTGGAAAGTGCTGAAACGGAGATTCGGACTCACAACGATTGAGGCCCGGGGTACCACCTGCCTTCAAAAGGAGGGAAAAAAGCTGATCGAATGAGGGGGAGGGATAACCATCAAGGATCCGGTCGAGACAATTACCTTCCCCTCGAAGATTAGAAGAGAACTGCTTCTGCTACTCACCCAACCATGGACAAGAAAGAGGCTATGGAAGAAAGAGAGCCACAAGCTGACATACATGTACCAAGCAACTAGGGGATTTGACAAGAGAAGTAGGCAACGGATGCGGGTTACAATCTTGCGTGTCCTAAATGAGAAACTAGGAATCAATATAAGGAAGAGGCAGACTGTTAAGATTCCTTACGACGACAGAGTGGATAGGAGGAAGGTCGGTGATGTGGTGAAGGAGAAGATCAGTGATTTNAGCTTAAGGCACTACACGAAAAACTGGCGATGCAGATGGACGAAGTCAGATCGAGGATACATACTCGAGACACGCAACGGAATGACGCCGAGACGCTACGAGGAGAGGTGTTCGAGCTGGAGCGAGAGCTGGCGAAAGAAGACAGCCCGGAAAAGGAGAAGGAGGAGCTACGGGGGAAGCTGGCGCAACTGCGGAAGCTGAAGGAGGAACGTGATCTGGCCCGCGTTAGAAAGAAGACCATGGAGGCAGAGTTAGAGTGGGAACTCGAACAGACGAGGAGGGAAGTTGATCTAGAAGATCAATATGCACCATCGTCATCAACAAGACCCCCACGGAAACGAAGAACAAAGACTCCATCTACACCGTTGAGGCCATGACGAGTCAAGCAACCGAATATGGGGATACATATTGAAGAACCATCTACTCCGCGGACGCCGATGACGACCAGATCACAGAAGAAGAATCCGACTATCGATAACGAGACACTGCTCGCAGGCTGGCGAGATATCACGAGGAACGGCGCAGGGAACAACGTCGTGGATTACTGCATGAACATGCGAAGCTACCTCCGAACCAAATCAATGGCGGAACTGCAATGTCTGTGCGGGGAGGAGAATGTGGAATACGTAACGAGGGAGAAGGTGACTAAGTCACTGATATCAAACAAGATGCAAGAGAAGATTCTGCGGGGAAACGCAGGATCTGCCGTCGATCCGAATCCGGAGGTGAGCTCAGATAGGGAGCCCGATCTAGAGACTAATTGACACTTAGACCTCGACCGAGCTTGGGCGTCATGGGACTCGTTGGTGGAATATAGGAGGACGGTTAGCCAAAATAGAGTCGTAGCGAACTCGATAGATGCTGCTCTTAGAACCGTGATTGTGATCCTCACGATGCGGGGGGCTACACCTTGGGCAAACAAGTTCATGGATCTATGGGAGAAGGGAGGTATCGATTGGGAGAACCCATCGAGATGTGTCTACGCGTTGATCTCGGCGAAATGCCAAAGATATATATCGGAAAGACTAGTCGTGAACTTAGCTGCAGATGGAAGGAACATGTGACATGTAGCAGAGGGAAAGAGAGCAAGAGCCAATCGCTGTATAGATGGCTTAGAAAATTTGGCACGGAAGAGTACGTGGCGATACCACTCACAGCGGCTGAGAATGACGACGATCTGACGAGGATAAAGAGATGTCTGATCAAGAGATGGTCCTCGACGCTGAACTGTTTGGCGAATAAAATACCCAGACCGAAACGCAGGAAGAAGTGGAAGGGAAAAAGAGAAAGGAAGGGGAGAAGCTACACGAGAGAGAGAAAGGGAAGCATTCTACGTTTTGAAGTCGCCGCGGGAACATCGACCACGAGGCTACCAGATAGCCTAGAACGGGCAATCAGAGGCGGGAAGAAAGACGTGCGCATTACCTGCCGCGGGGACATTTGGTGTGAGGACTGGAAAGTGCTGAAACGGAGATTCGGACTCACAACGATTGAGGCCCGGGGTACCACCTGCCTTCAAAAGGAGGGAAAAAAGCTGATCGAATGAGGGGGAGGGATAACCATCAAGGATCCGGTCGAGACAATTACCTTCCCCTCGAAGATTAGAAGAGAACTGCTTCTGCTACTCACCCAACCATGGACAAGAAAGAGGCTATGGAAGAAAGAGAGCCACAAGCTGACATACATGTACCAAGCAACTAGGGGATTTGACAAGAGAAGTAGGCAACGGATGCGGGTTACAATCTTGCGTGTCCTAAATGAGAAACTAGGAATCAATATAAGGAAGAGGCAGACTGTTAAGATTCCTTACGACGACAGAGTGGATAGGAGGAAGGTCGGTGATGTGGTGAAGGAGAAGATCAGTGATTTGGAGATGAGTGAAGAGATCACTGCTATTGTACGAAGACACGTACGCGTTGTCTGGATGAAAAAACAGACAGTAGGCGACGTGCTTCACAACCATCGAAAGTATGCTCGCTCGAATGGTAGCATCTGCGCCTGCGCAGATTGCCCCTTCCCGCTAGTGGAAGGACATGTACAATGCAGGTTATCCGAACTGGGGGCTCCTAATTTTCTTCTTAACGCACGGAACATTCCTCCACAACGGACGGAGGAGGTAAGACGAGGGATCATGGCCGCAATCCTAGATGGCCTAGAGGAGATCTTTAGAGGGGCAGGAAAAACTCTCACTGTGCACCAGATGGAGGTCGAACTATGTGTGGAGGAGCAGGATGTACCACACGAGGAGAACTACCAGCTGCTGTTGGATTGGAAGAGACGACTACGAGGTCTGGTATGTACCCGATGGACCGTAACCCGGGGGAGACATACATTGTATGTCTGGTGGTCTACGCACGAGCTCTCCGGGATACTTTTTGGCACGGCACAAGCTTCCAGATGTGTAACATACCGACAGAAACAGCACTCGCAACGAGCAAGAAGGATTTCGAAGACCTGGGTCTGAAGAAACTAGGATCATGGAGGAAGAAGGGCAGACTAGGAGACGCATATGTCATACCAAAACACAAGGACCCCCGAAGATGGCGGCCGATCGCCCCAGCATGGAATGCATCGATGAAGGAAGGAGCGAAGAAGGTGGCCAAAGCACTCCACTGCATGCTGCAATGCCTGGCAAAGAGGCTCCATTTCAACGTAACGTCATCAGAAGAGGCGATCAGGAGACTGACAACATGGTCGGCGAACCTGAATCCGGGGCAAGGAGTGATGGCGGCAACTTTCGACATCAAAAACATGTTCGCTGAACTGCCACATGCAACGATCCGGGAATCACTGGATTGGATGATCAAGATGATGGAGGCGAAGGGATRTGACARGGTGAATGTGAAYTGTYGAGGGAAGAGACCAGCTATGGGCAGGCAAGCGAGGGATGGACACCACTCAGTGAAATTCAATCACATACGTGATTGGGTTGGCTATGAGCTGGATCATTCCTACTGTTTGGCCGAAGGGGAACTGATACAACAAGTACAAGGAATCCTGATGGGCGGGCATACTAGCCCAGCCCTGGCATGTATCCTCTGTGTTAAAAGTGAAGCCCAACTCATATATGACCTTGGGACGGACTGGAGACAGATCCTTGGATTACGACTCATGGATGATGTGGCCATTTTCATCTGCTGCCTTCCGAAGAAGGTGGACTCGGCATGCCGGGTGAGGGACATCCTTGCGCAACTACGGAGGTGTTACCCGCCTGACCTCACTCTGGAAAGAACGGACGACGACAATGGGACACTATCCTTCCTGGGATGCAAGATCTTCTTGGACCAACAGGGCCCAAAGATCTCATCCGTTCTCCAAATGAAAAACCAGGAATGCCTGTCCGAAGGCAGACCACTGGTTTTCCAGGGTATACAGGACTAGACATCATACAGCGACAAGGAAACCAAGAGATCGATGATCACAAGCTACCTCCACCGCATTGTGAGATGCTCGAGTGATAAGAGGCTTCGGACTCTGCCGACTTTAT